CCAAACTGGAGAGTTCGAAGTCAGAGAGCTCAAGGTCGAAGCGACCGCCACGACATTCCCCCCAGTGAGCTCCTGGTGAGCAGCAGATGAGTATCCTTGGTTGTAAGCGAGTTTGGGAAGCGGAGCATCCTGGAAGGAGGGCGGGGTACAAATCAGCGGTAGGAACAATCTGTAAACATTGCTATGAGGCAGAACGGTAAAGGGGACAATGAGAAGAGCTCAGGGCAGTGGGGTTCCAGTTTGGTGATGTTACCCGAAGGCCACGAGAGAGAGGCCCTTGGGTGTCTGTTCAGCGGTTCCTGAACGCCTGGGAAGGCGGGCAGGGTTCAGAGTGTGCAGCTGCCCCAGCGGGGAGGACTAACTGGCAATGATTCTTCCATGGCCCCTGGTCATGGTCAAAGCCTTCTGTCCTGGGCAATGGCGCCACAGGCCCAAACAGGAATGGGCCTCGTTGGTGTCACTGGGAGGAACTCTCCACACGCTCCCCGCAGCCTGGCTTACCGCAGAAGGATCACTGCCGTAACTACGCCCTCTGTTCCGGGCGGTATTTACCAGCAACCTGATGTCAGTGCAGTGAGGTGGAAATTAATGGCCATTTCTGCTCCTCTTCCCCTCACCTTTGCTCCCTCTATGTCTGCCCATAATTACGTAAAACCATGCATCCACGGGGTCTTAAGGGCTGGTAAGAGGGCAAGTCCATACATCTGTGTCAATGGGAAAGGCAATTTCTGATTGTGGCCACAAGGGTCCAGCCACAGCCCTGCCCCATCCAACCTCCTTTCTGATGACTTGGATGAAGAGACAAACATGCCAATCACAGTCAAAGACCCAGACTTCAAAGGTATTGCTCATTCGGTAGATAAATGAAATTAGATTTAAGAAGTATTTCTTTCAGGTGAAGTGATGGGTCAAAAACAACTGGATAAAATTTAACCGGATAAATTTTATGTTAAAAAAATTCAGTCTCACAACTACAGGATGGCATTTGAATCCTTCATTGTCATTCAAGTAAAAAAAATAAAATAAAAAATGCCAGGGTTGTAGTTGACTGACTGCAAGCTTAACATATGCAAAAGTGGGAAAGCGGGATGCGATCACTTTTTTTAAAAAGGCAACTTTAGGCTGCAGTGACAAACGTGAGATGGTCAGAAGACAGAGAAGTGTCGCGCTGCTCTCTGTGTTGTTCTGGACCATGCTGAGTCGCAGTTCTAAGCCCTCACATCTTATCAGGAACCTGAACCATCTAGAGAAAATTTGGAAGGAATAACGGGGGCACCTGGAAGCCATGTCAGCTGAGAGTGAAGTAGATAGAGACGTTTAGCCCCTAAGGACTCCCGATAGCCATCATGAGATACACCTGTTTGTCTTCCAGAGTGAGAGGACATTTCTGGATTGTTCCAGACAAAGCTAGAACAAATGGGGAGAGCATATGGGGAGGGTCGCTCTACTGAAGTATAGGCTAACAGTAGCAACGTCCCAGCGGTGAATATGTCACCTCAAGGAACAGGCTGTTCCCTGGAACCGCTCAGAAGCTGAATGGCCAAGGATATGGCCGAGGAGGTGTCTGCGCTGGATTCCATCACCCCCTCCGACTGGAATCCCCTGCTGCATTCAGCATCTGTCAAATGGAGCCCACTGCACTTTATTCTGTGGTTTATAAATAAGCCATGGAAAAGAAGAATGGATCACGTGGAGGGAATTTGCTGAGACTGGAGGAGAGGGACCCAAGAGTCAGATTAGACACTGCCCTGAGGGTGGAAAAACCAGAGGATGACACACTCCAAGCCAGGGAAGCTGTCAGGGAGTGGAATCAGTGCCTTCACATGTCAGCCTTGCCTTTCGGAGGTTTCTTGTGTTTTTCTTTTTTTTCTTTTTTCTTTTTTTGCCAACTGCTGCTGCAGCAGCTGAGCTCTAAACAGCAGGGCTCTCCCCCAAACGCCTGGAGGGAGGCCGGCGAGCGGAGCACAGAGGCACCCGTGGGCACAGGGAGGCTGAGCTCCGCTGGGTGGCCATGGGCACAGGGCACCCCGGCCCTGCATTAGAAAAAGCTGGGCCTGTCATTATTCCCATCCAGAAAAGGTATTTTGTTGAAGCAGAAAAGATGACAAAGCCAGATGCAGTTTCAGGTGGGCAAGTTGCCACCCAAAGCATCTCTCCTGGCCGAGAGCAGAACATGCCTCCAGAGGCCTTAGATCAAGGAGAAACTGCCCTCCCGGGGCTGTCCTCCTAGGCCCTGCCTTGAGGATTCATCTTCAGCCCAACTCCTGGCGAGGGAAGTGCTCTCAAGACTCACTCTCTGGCTGTGCTGAGGATCAGCCTGATTCAAAACACCCTCTCCTGTCTCCCGGTCTTCACCAGTGCTATGTTCAACTGGGATTGTATAATTATGACGATTATTACTTATGGTTTTTTTCCCTCCTCATCTTTTGCTTTCAAATTCTTTGAGGCCTCTCATTAAATACAGTGATCCCAGTGAAGTCAGTAAAGTTTTAGTAAGACATTTTTTAAAGCTAGAGGAAACCCAGAGTTGATTGTTACTGTATTTTCTCGAACACTCCTTTACAACTCTGTCAGGCATGATTGGTGCCTGGATATAAGAGGTAGGGCAGAGAGGTTTGGAGATCCAGGGAACATCCACACTTTTTCACAGGGCTGGAGAACCTTTTTTCACCCTCCCCTGGCCTTTCTCATTTGCATCAAGAGCATGGCGCATCTGAACCTCCATGCCTAGTAGGAAAAGACAGACCATCAGGCAAGGATCCAGGGCCTGGCCTTTTCATCATTGCAGATTTAGTTGGGAAATGGAGATGGAGCAGCCAGTGAAAAACTCAGCCCAACCTTGTACTCAGCAGCAAAGCCAGTCGGGAGACACTGGAGGCGGAAAATGCAGTGGGATGTGCTGGAGGGAGGTTTCCTTGGTAATGAATGACACAGCTTCAGGGCCCATCATTTGCAAGCCCTCAACCATAGCTTTCTCGGTCACCAGGAAGTGGTGCAGGTGGGGCCCCAAACAGCCCTTCACCTGCTTCACTCAGGTTTGATGACAGGGTCCCCTTCCCACCCATCCTGCCCAGGACCCCACAGGTGATGCACAGCGAGACGGCAGAGTGCATCTTGGCCCAGCAGGAGTCTGTTTAGAGAGGCTCCACGATTGGCCCCTCTTGGCTGTCTGCCGTGAGCCATCCAGATGTCCCTAAATCTGTCAGTAGCCAGCCCTATGGGGAGTGACTGAGCCCCACCCACCAAGCCAGGTTAAATGTCAAAAACCTGGCAGCAACATTTCCCCCAACTGCATTCACATCCCCTCCTGAAGATGACCTGCTTGCTCTGCCCACTGCAAACAGCATTCCTTTCGTGCCCGCTAGACTGTGGGAAAGTCAGCTGAGTTAGAGGGGCAGCCCCAGCTGAGATTTATTTCTCCACCTGATGCTTCCCCGCAGGTGTAAGGAAGCGTACTGTACTGCGTGGCTGTTGGCGTTAAATGAGGGCATGACAGCAGTGGCTTCCATTTCTTGGGGGCTCATTGTGTTATGCAGAGGGGGGTCCACATCATGGCGGGCGTTGCCTGAGAGGGACTTTGGTTATACTCCCGTTCTGCTGCTTGGCTGGATGACTTAGGCAGCCCAGCTGTCTCTGCTCTGAAGGAGAGATAAGAGTAAATGATTAAGTGGGGAAAATACATAAGGTGCTTAGCACAGTGTTTGTAGTGTGTGAGCTCAAGCGTAGTTCTTTGTATTATTATTTCCGTTATTATAATTATCTGCAGCCCATACTTAGCTCTTACTGCTTTATTTAATTTCCAACAATATTCTGCAAGGTGGGTACCCTTATATTTATTCTGTAGTTAAGGATGGGTAGGTGGATATCTCGTATATGACAATGTGTACAAAGCACATTTGTTTATTGCAGTGATGCGCTCAATGGACTATTCAATAAACACTAGCTATTATTGTTGGCTTATTTTTAAGGTTGACCCAGAGAGCCAGTTTCTCTGCTTTCCCTGGGATTGGAGGGACTGTGGGGCCCAGCAGGCCAGCTTCTGCCCTGTGGCCAATTCCATGGGTCCCCTCAGCTCTTTCTGGAAGCTGTGGGAGCTGTGGGGCTCGTAGCTGTGCGGTGGCAGGAGGTGGTGAGAATGACTGGGAACGTGGCGGGCATTGTCAGGACCTGGCACATGCCCCACCACTGAGGCACAGGGCCCTAAGCGCCTCCTGCTTCCTGACGCAGATCAGGAATAGTTCTCCCCATGACAGGAGCATGAAATCCAGTCCTCCGGATGTAGCCCAGCACTGCAGCAGCCTCGTTCCCGGAGACCCTCTCCTCTCAGCTGCCTGCCTGCCTGGAGCCACCCTGAGCAGTGTGGCCTCCCCAGACCCACTTGCTCCATCTGCCAGATAGACAAAGGCTTCGGTTCTTACCCACGCACTTCCAGGTGGGGCCGCTGGTGGAGCCAGGGGCAGGTGACAGGGAAGGCGGTGAGATCTCAGTAAACCAGACCCCTGGGGTGCACGCTCCTACTGCTTGTAGTGCTGACGGAAACGGAAGCTGAGAGGTCATTTCCACTGACACAAATGGCTCTTTCTGGGGGAATTCAGTTTCTATATATGTACCTTAAGGTAAATGCTTTAAGGTCACAGTGTTTGTCAAAGAGTGGCACCTCAGGAGCCTGATGTTAAAGCTCTACAGCCAGTCACGTGATTGTTTCTGCACCTTGCATGAGATGCTTGTGCAAGTGGCTGTGGTGTAAACATGCACATGGACGTGCGCACTGCTGTATACATGGGTGCCAGCGCTGCCTGCCAGAAAGGCGCCTCCATGTTCGGTGTATGGTACCTGTGTAACATACACTACAGACCTGCATGTGCCCCGTGCATGGATTGCATGCTGGCCGCGGCTGTGTGCGTGTCTGGGCAGGGGGGTTCCCCTAAAGCCACAGGTCTTCATGGTTTCAGCTGGATAAGTTATTCTTCACTTCCCTTCCTAAAAACACAATTGCCTAGTGCTGCTGGCGCAGAGTCAGAATGGCCGCTGCATTTCACCCCCGAGGTGGCTTCCTTCCAACAGTGGGTGAGTGACCCCAGCGTCTGCACTCTCTAACCTTCCTTGGGATCCTTCTGCACAGAAGGTGCTCCAGAATCCTGAGGACATGATCTGTTTGTCCGTGGCCTCGTCTCCGCCCACCACCCCTGTGTGCACACCCTCCTCCCGTGGACAGCTGGAGGCACCCATTTTTTGGTGTTTGCATTTTTCCTGCCCATTTTATGCACCCACAGTTTTTTCTTCCTAAGAAACAAGGAGCTGAAGGGATCCAGCAATGACATCGAGTCCCCTGTCCCAGAGCCAATGCACAAATAATATCATTAGGTATTGATCCTTTAACTCACTTCTGCTGGACCCCTAGCAGAGCAGGGCAGAAAAGCCCAGCACCTTTGAAGATGCTTATAAATCCAGCAGCAGCATCCTTAGGCTTCATCTCCTGATGTAGTTTCCATAACCCTTCCTCCGTGGCCTGCAACCCAGTCCTGTGGGAAACTTGGCGATCGCAGTCTGTGAAGTCGGTTCTAATTGGAGTCAGGTGGCTCTGCCTGCCCCTCCGTAGGGGACGAGTCTGGCCAGCCACCCACCCATTGCCCCACCAGGACCACAAGCATCACAGCAACACATGGAAAGGGTCTGTAGGGATGTAAGAAGGTTCTCTGTGGCTAGGAATTCTATCAGCCCAAGTTTCTATCCAGAGAGCTCTTGAAAAATGCTGCTCGGCCTGTCCCCTGCTGCACTTTCTCGGGTTAGAAACAAATGTCGGATTACTGGCTGCCAAACTGCATTCCTGCTGAGAGGGAGGACAGGGGAGTGGGCCAGCCCTCTTGGCATATGTGTCCAAATGGACATGGACTTTCATGGAGAGATTAGGCTTCTGGGTGGTAGGGGCGGTCAGCACATTGACTGCCTGGACCTTCAATGCTCGGCCTTGGCGGCCGGCTCAGCCACGGACCCCCACCTGTGGGCATGTTTGCAGGAGATGAGAAGGGCCCTGAGGAGGATGGGTCCAGAGTCCCTACGGGTCCTCGGGAGAATCACACACTGCCAAGCAAGTGATCCCGCCTGCTGACTAGTCCTCTAAACTTCAGCGGCACTAACCCCTGCAGCCATAGTCAGGGGTCACTTGAACTTCCTAGTTGGAAGAAAGTAGCATCAGGTCGTTGCCAATAGCAACACAGCCATGTCCCCATTTCCTTGTGCTTTTTGATCTTTGCCTAATTTGCAGTGAACCAGAGCTGAGATGCCAAAGTCCATTTGGGGAGGAGGAGGAAGGAGAGAGGCAGGCCTGGCACAGGCTACAGAAGGAGCGCTGCCGAGGGGCCGGCGCGGATTGCCCCGCCCTGCCCCGAGTCCAGTGAGGACTTCCTGCGCGCTGAGTGTAGGAGCACCTGTGTGTTCAGTCAGAGCTGGAAGAAGGAGACGAGAGAGAGGTCTGGTCGCGAAAGCGGGGCATTTCTCCGGCAGGATGAGAGAGAGGCAGGAAAGTGAGGATGCAGAACCGGGAAAGGAGGCCGGGGCGCCTGCGCCTGGGCGCTCTGCCACCAGTGCAGGGCACAGCTGCTGAGCCCTTGTCACTCCTGGCATGCCCGCCTGGTGCCAGATTTGTCCCTAAGCTGCTGGAGGCCACGGAGAAAGGTTTCCCATCACCCGTCAAAACTAACACGCAGCTGGCCTTCACAGAGAGCCCTGTAAGCAATGGGCAGGAGGGGAGGCGGGAGGCAGAGATGCCAGGCACAGCACCAGGGAGGGCTCCCCCAGCTGGGCAGGGACACCCCAGTGCAGGCACTGGGTTCTTCCTGGAGGAAAGCAGCTCTGCCTCCCCTCCTCAGAAAGGTAAACATCACACCTGCTTCTCTCCTCCCTGGAACGGTTGCCATGGAGATCCCAGGGGTACTGGCACCAACAACACAGGGCCCCAAACACAAGTGGTGGCTTCACCTGGCCTGTCTAGCAGCCGCTGCTGGTGTGGGATAGTTGGACACAGAGGAGTCCTTAGTCCCGGAGCATTTTCACCTGCCTCCTTTATTTTTAGAGAGAGGGGAAGGGAGGAAGAAAGGGAAAAAAACATCAATCGGTTGCCTCTCACACACCCCCAACTGGAGACCTGGCCTGCAACCCAGGCCTGTGCCCTGACGGGGAATTGAACCAGTTATCTTTTTTGTTTTGCGGGATGACACCCAACCCACTGAGCCACACTGGTCAGGGCCACCTGCCTCCTTTTCTGAGAGTGATGGTCAAGTACAAAGTAGAAGGTATATGCGTCATGAAGGCCGACCCTCTCAGCCCTGCCACTGACTGGCTGTGTGCTCTCAGGCAAGTGGCTCAAGCTGTGCTTGAGCCTGCATCCTCATCTGTCCAGCGGGGGATAATGTAGTATTTAAGTGGCAAGGATGGTGTGGACATTAGCACAAGTGTCTATGAACTGTCTAGTGTGCTCAACATACAATAGCTGCTCAATGTTTAGTTAATGGTGACTGTTAGTAACTGTCCTTGGCAGCTAACCTGTGTCCCTGGTAATGAGACTATCCCCACCTGCTACCACGAGGTTTGGGTGAGTTGAAGAGGCGGGCACTGGGGAAGGGAGGTACATGAGACATCAGTGCCACCCCATTGGGCAGGAATAAGAAATTCAAAGAGCAAGTTCCTAGGGGATCAGGGGATAGGCTGGTCCTTACAAATTTAGTTCAGACAGGAGGACTGGCAACTCACCTTTGGTAAATTAAAATTTTTTAAAGGAAAAAAAGCACTGATAGTTGACAATGCAGCCTAGAGTAAGGTGTCTGAACCTGCTATGCTCGCAGTGACACTTTATGAGAATTGCTTTCAGAAGATGTGATTGCTGGCAGATTCCACAGAATGGAAAAACCTGCTTGTTTATGTAGCAAAACCTAGTTGTTTATAACACTATGCTTTATATAAGATGGTGAGTGTTGCAAAAGAATCCATTATTTTTATTTTAATCCTAGTCCTTATTTTTTAACAAACTTAAATGTACATGAATTGTATATTAACTCTTCAGCTAGTGAACTTTTTTTATTAATTTAATTTTCACCTATCTCTTGATTTTTTTTTCTTTATTTGGGTGTTATTTTATGTTCATCTTACTTTCAAAGAGTCAAAGAGAATATTTTAAAACCATATAAAATGCCCTTTCGCTCCCGAGAGAGATCGGAAAGCTCAGCAAGGATGTGGGAGTAATAGGGACCCCAAGAGCAGATCGCTGGGCTCCTGCCCCTCACGGCTGAAGGGTGAGAAAGCCAGGAACACCTCGCGCCCTCCCCGTGCCGCTCTGCCCAGCTGCTGCGGGTCAGCCGTAATCCCTGGCTTAGCCCAGAACCCAGTTTTCCCATTTTGCCTGCCCACCTTGCCTCACAAAATTCAATAGAGGCTGATTAAAGATCGCGTTGAAAATTTTTTTAAAGTATTCTATAGTAAGCGTGGAATTTTCTACCATCCCCTGCTGGAGTTTCTTGGATCTCTAAACTGTCCCAAACAAGTGGCACTCTTGCCCCCATTTTAAACATTGTCGAGAAAGGAGATGCCACAGAGTTCTTTATGCCCCCTCTGGAAATCATTCTTTGCTTTATTCAGTGAAGAAGAGGTACCAGGGGCACCCACCTGCACAAAAATCTCCCAATGAGGTTAGGCAGGTCCTGGGCTTCTCCCCTTCCTGCCACCCCCGAGTCAGGGCCCCACCTTCCCACCGGGCTCCGAGGCTCCTGGCAGCCCTTCTCAGCCTGTTCCCCCAGGGCTGTGATCCTACGCGCACTCATCACTTATGAACTCGAGCATCATCTACTTGTTGATGACCTTCAGCCTCCTTGGGAGGACAGCTCCTCTCTGGGGCCTCCAGCTTCCTGTCTGCCGAGGTCACTCGGGGAGCACTGTTCCACAGAACACCATTTTTCATTAGCAAGGAAGAAAATGCCCATGTGTCACAACAAGGTGACCAGTTTGAATCAATGGGGACCAGAAATAATGTTCCAAATGCATTCTGTTGCAAACTCTGGTTCGTCTGACAGGAGAGCCTAGGCTGCTCCTCTACTGGAAGGGAAGCATTGACTTTCACTAAAAGGCAACTGGAAAAAAAGGCAACTGGGACGACAACTGAATAAGTACGAAGTGGGGAATTTCAAAGCAAAATATGATAACTGGGATTTTTTTCCTATTTTTTTTCTTTTGAAATATAGCAAAATGAACACATCTGAAATGCATGGTTTGATGACTCTGACAAATGTATGTAACAGTGGAACTCACACCCATCACCCGAGAAAGTTCCCTCATGCCCCACTCCAGTCAGTTTTGTCCCTCTCCCCCAGAGGCAACCGCGGTTCATTTCTATCTGGTAGCAGCAAGGAGGACGGCAGACTCGGTGGGCCTCAGATCTATAGCATTGGCCTTAGGCCGTCTGGGCAAATCAGCAGGAGACTCTCACTAGCAGCTCAGATGTCTTTACCCCCCTTCGAGTTGAAAAGAGTCCTGCCTGAGCCCCTAGTGCTTGGCTCTGCTGCCCCCAATATGCCATCTGAGCCCAGGGCTATTCTCTGAGCCACAGGCCTCCCAGCCAAACAGTTTAGCACCAGTCTCCCAGGTAAGTGGCAACAGGTCTTGGTAAATGGGTCGTGCATGTTTGTTGGTTAGTATCTGCAGGTGCAACGCGCAGAGCCACAGCATGTCAATCAGCATGTTGATTTTCCTTAAAGCACTGCCCAAAAGGGAGCTGTTCCTTTTGTGCCTTTCCTTTTAGAAACAAAAGATGCCATGACCACTTTCATGCAGGCTTCTAGCCGGCCAGAACAGCCACAGGGCTGAAATGATTAGCCAGGGTGGGAGTTGAACAGGGTATGAGTGTTCGTGAGCCCAGCACAGAGCCCATGGTCCATGAAACTGAAGGACCCCAAATTCCATTGGATTAAACTTTGCCAAAGGTCTCAAAGGTGAAAAGCACTTTGTCTGTATGCAAGGTTGTGATGTCCCTGGAATGTACCTTCTGCAGCTCAGTCCACAATCACTGTATATTTTTTCACTTGGACCAAGGCTGCCTGCTCATAGCATTTTCCACCACCTCAGCTGCCTGACTCAGCTAGGCCAAGGCCTCAGTCTGAGCTGGCTGCTGCTCCCTGGCACCACGATCGGCCCCCGGCTGACCGGCACTGAGGAACATCACGCAGTCAGACCCTGAAAAAACAGCTTCCCTTGTAACTATGCAAGACAGCAGGCAGAGGCAGAATTACTCCTCCCCTTGCTACATGTTTCCTACAGAATCACATAAACTGGAAGCAGGGATAGAGGGGAAGAGGAAGAAAACACTAAGAGGACATGGGCAGAAGTTCTCCTCTCTGGGCAGGACAGGTAGCTCGGGAGCTCCCAGCAAGCCCCTAGCAGCATAGACCTTGTGGCAGCTCATCTCTGCACACAGGTGGCCTCTGCTGTCAGATTTCACTTTGATCCCTGGAAACTACAGGAATCTCAGCTCTTCAGAAGGGAGGCAGCTGCTGAGCCAGAGCAATTGCAGGATTTCTTCCCCAAAGCTCGAGGCCAGGCATCTAGGCCGGCCTGCGTCCTGCATGAATAACCTCCTTCCAGCATCACCCGGGAGGCCACTGCCTAGAAGTCAGATTGCAGCTGGGCTGAGCTGTGCCCCCGCCGCCGCCACTGCCAGCCAACCAAACCCTTACGACCTCCTTTAGTAGCAACTGGCATTTGGTAAATGCATGGGTGAGCACAGGAGTGGGGAAAGGCAGAGAGAAATGCCAAAGAGCACCACCTGGACCTGAGAGGGTAGAATGATCTCAGGGCCTGTCCTCTGGGCTGGTGGGGGCAGCCCCTGCCCTGAAGTCCAGGGAAATAGAAGCCCCTGAGGGGCAGGGGAGGGGCAGGAGCGATGGGCTGGCCACGGGTCCTCCGAGTCAGAGCAGTGAGGCTGAGCTCCTGGATTTAGGCAGAAAGAGATTAATTGGAGCCTCCAAGTCCAGCCCAGCCCAGCCCACTCTACAGAACTGGGAGATATGGAGGATGGGGGGACCTCAGGGTCAAATTCAGCTAAAACAAATAGATAGTCACACAAATCTCCAGAAATGGAGTCTCCAGCCTCTCTCAACCCACAGCCTCCTCTCCAACCAAAATGACCTCACTAATGAGGAAGAAGCTGTAATGAGGGTTTGGATGCCTGGTAAACCTCACCTTCTTTGTCTCTCCGGGCTTTTAACATACTGTTGGACAGACTGTTATGCAGAAGCTTTAGCGATTTTTTTTTTTCACATCGCCAGCTAAATCAGAGCCCCAAATGCTGTGGACGGCAAAACTGGAATATATGTATTTGGGGACATAATGTGTAATTTGCGGGCCTGGCGGAGGAGGGTGGCGTCAGCTGTACTTGGCGTGTGGTCACCGCAGAGATAGGGAGCACCAAAGGGAGAGCAGAAGTCCTTGGCACCTTTCATTGGAGCAGGGGTGGGCACACAGGTCAACGGGGTGGAGGAGGTTTGTTAGAGCTCTCGGGCCACAGGTCCCTAGGCTCATCAGCCCCACATTGCCTCTGAGAGAACCGCCCCAACACACACACACACACACACACACACACACGCACGCGCACACACAGCCATGCTTTCTGCCTTCAGGCCTGCTTTGAGAAGGCACAGTCCCAGGTGAACCAACTGAATGACAAATGCCTGGAGCACCATGTAAGAAAGGGCAGTCAAGGACAGTGCCAGCCGAGTGTGCCTGAGAATCCAGGGCTGGGGGCGCCCTTGACGGCCAGCCTCGGCCTCTGCGCGCTCCCGACGCACCCGCCCACTCTGCGCCAAGGAGTGGCCACCCTGCTTTTCGTGATTTGCAAAGACTGGCACTGCCACCCTCCGGGATTTTTTTTTAAATCTGATTTAAAAATCCTCAGCTTAGTATAAATGTATCCTGCCGCAGGCTAAGTTTAGTCTATTTGGAGATTCAGATGAAGTTGGTGAAGGGGAGATTTTGTGTGCACGTGTACGTGTGTATTTTAAGGTGGGGAGAAAAAATGAAAAGTTTGTCTCACTGGTGGAAACGGGGAGTGAAAGAAAGTGATGATGGTAGAGGGAAGGAAGGAAGAGAAGGGAGGGAGGGAAGGAGGAAGAAAAGAGCGGGAGGAGGAAGCTGCGGACTCCCAGTTGCCCCTGAGAGCCATCCCAGGTCTGGACAAGGCCCCCTCCATGCCGTCAGAATTCTCCAGGTCACGCTGCCACGTCCCTCCATGGAGCACTAAGCCAGAGGACACATTGTCCTGCATCCAGGAAAGTCACAGCCCATGTCGTTTGTTCGTTAGATGTGCCCATTACCCATCAATTCATCAATCAGCAGGTTTATTGAGTACCCCACCAGGCTTCACAAGCCTGATCAATTTTTTTAATTACATCCAGCTTACACACAGCCGAGCCCAGTAAACAAGCTGAGGCCTCACACCCCACTTGGAAATGAACACGAGGAACTGCTGGCCCTTGCAAACACGGCTGCCCGCACCGGCCAGCCACGGTGTGCTGCCCTTTGCGGATGGCAGGGGCGTCGCTGACCCCCTGTCAATAACAGGATGGGCTCTGAGTGTTTTCTCAGACACAGTGACCCAGCCACCCTCCCCTCTGGCCCCTCCCTGTCCAATGCTATGGATTTTTAAAGAGGAGACCAGGAAATGGATGCATTTCCTCCCAGGCATGCGAGCAACTGGCCTCCCTCAGGCCCTGTCCCTCATGCACCAGGCCTCGCAGTCCAGGCCATTGTCTTACATTTCTGGAAGCGCTGCTACGTAGGTTGTAAGTGAGGAGCATGTACCATTCCTGGGGTGGAGGCCCTGGGTACCACCACCGGGCAGGAGCCAAGAGCATAGGGGATGGCAGGAGCACACTGTCTGGGGCCCACGGTGGCACCTGTTCTCCTGTTCTCTGAGCCGCAGCGAATTCCACTTTCATCGTCTAGAACCAGGTCATCCAGAGGACCCAGAGCCTGTATGTCTCCCCTGCATTGCAAACAGGATTCCTAGGTCTTCTGCTAGTTCATTCATTAGTTTCTAATCGCCCAGATGTTTAGCCAGCATCTATTTGGGTCAGCCCACCCTCCCTGATCTTGCTACTCCCAATCCACCTTTTCCTTCCTCGCTTGAATAAAATCAAGTTCAGGGAGAGCCCACAGGCATTCAGGGATGCTCTACCTAAGAGCTGAAATGCCTGGTGTGAGGTGAGTAAAATTCCCACACCCCACAAAGAGTACAAGCCGCCCACCCTCCCTCCCTATCCTGCCCCAGACTCCTGGTCGTTCCAGCTTCCTCCAGTGTATGGTCCCAAACCCAAAGGTCAAAGGGGTCAGTTTGCTAAGTCATTTGGCCTCCGTGACTCATGCGAAAATGAACTCACCTACCTGGTTCTCTGTCTCTGTCCCTCTGTGTGTGTGTGTGTGTGTGTGCGCGCGCACCTGTGCGTGCCTCTCTGTCGCCTGTCTCTGCAGGGAAAGTCGCTGGCGGGCAAGCGCCTCACGGGCCTGATGCAGTCCTCCTGACGGTTCCCACCGCAGGCCCGGGGCCGGGGCCCGAGGACCACGCAAGCAGGAGGCGGCGCTCCACGTCCGTGGACAGAGCTTCCTTACGGGGAGATTTGGTCACTGTGAAAGAAAAAGAGTGAGGGTGATGAAGGGCGACCATGGGGAGTCTCGGTGGGTGAATGGGGGGACCTGAAAGTCCACAGAGCCAGGGGCCAGCCCGGGAGAGGCCCCCGTTTACAACCCTCCCGTGCTTGTACAGTTGTGCGCCGACACCCCGCTTTCTAAGAGGCCCTTGTCCCTAACTCGTTCAGGGGAGAACATCTTGTAGGGTGTTGTGACTGTCCCTTGAGATGTATTCTCGTCATCACTCCTCCCACTCTCTGGGGGATCCTGCCGTCCAGCAAACACAAGAAGGACCAGCTGGCCCTGAGCACGTCCTGGGTTACGCCCCCTCCCCCCACTGTCTCCCTGGTGCACCCACAGCACCCACCATAGTTATAGCCACTGTGTCCCTACCGCCCCCGCCTCCCCTATCTTTGTGGCCACCCGCCCTCACGCAGCCCGTCCCAATCACGTCGTCGTCAGCACTGAGCCACGTCGGGGTTGGCTGCACCGCAAGTTCTTCCAACCCCGTTAGGTATGCCCATTATCCACCAATCCATCCATCAGCAGGCTTCTGAGAAGGTCTCCACAGGTGTGCCGCTGCCCTCTGGCCTTGACACATGTCTCGAGGGTCCAACACCAGAAGAGACACCCGTGTAGATGAAAGAGCTTCTGGTTTAACAGATTCTGACCATCTCTTTAAAAATTTATAATTTCATAATTTATTGTTTTTGCCCCTTTTCCTTGGTTCATTCCCTCCTGTTTTACTCAAAATAAACAATGCCATGAACTCAGGGGCCCTTGGGATCCTCTCCTCCAGCAGCCCCACAAGGTGGAAGCTGGGAGGGCTCCCAGCAGGGGGGTTGCTGGGTCAGAGGGCTGGCAGCCCCTGCAAGGTGGGCGTGGCCAGGCTCCTGCTGGGCCAGGTGTGTGAAGCTGGAGGAGACTCTGCTACACAGGGACTAGGCCAAGGCCAATGGTCCTCTGACGGCCCAGCAAAGGCACCCACTGAGCAATGCCAGGCGTCAAGGGAAAAAGCAGGCAGAAAGCAACACCTGCAAAAACCTGCAAAAAATCGCCTTGTATTCCCTTCATGTGTGTGTCAAAATGCCCTCCTGCCAACTTGGTTGAGAGCTAATATATGTAGAGCACTAGGTCAGGTGCCTGACGCAGAGTAGGTGCTTAGCAAATGGTAGCTATTCCTCTCATCATCATTGTCATCGTGTGACTCCCATGGGCCCACGGACAGAGCAGTATTAAGCAATGTGTCTTTTAGTTCAAACACTCACTCCCCCACCTGCTATGATTATCCTCCTTTGATCTATTTTTGGCCATAGGTGAGAAATCTCCCTGGAGAGTGTATAAACAGCAAACACAGAAGCAAAAAATCTATCACTCGTATTTCTTCACTTCTGTAGGCAAATTCACCAGCTGGTGACCAAAGGCGCACACGCTCATTTGCAGACGCCACCTCCCCAGTGCTCCCAGGGCCGTCTTTCCAGCCTCCCTGCCGAGGCATGTCATGTCTGATTCTACTGAGCCCTGGCCCCGGGGCAGCAGCCTTTCAGTCATCACAGCGGAGCCACTGTGGGCACTAGAACTCTTTGTTAGGGTTATACCCTTGCGGGTCCTTGACCACCATGCCTCAGTTTCCCCCACTGGCAGTAGTTGCTCTCTCTCTTTGAGGTACAAATGAGAATGACACACATTGAGTCCTCAGAGTGTCTCCAAAGGTAGCGTTATAGACCCAGGTCCCACACGACCTCAGCACAGAACCTGGCACTTGGCAGACACGAGATAATGACTAAAACGAAGTTCTGCCCCATGTTTCGGGGTCTTTTGGGCCCTCCTCTCCTCCTTCCCTGCTTTTTTGTCTTGTTTCAGATAGTCCTCCTGTTTCAGAACCAAATTGCAGCTAAAGTTCCTCTGCACCCAACATGGCCCAAAGGAAGCTCCTCTCTGCCAGGGGTCCCCTGGCTGTGCTGACTTCAATGCACAGGGTATGTGGGCAAAGGAAGTTCCAGAATAGCAGGTGCCTCTCTGCCCTCAGTTATCCAAGGCAAGGGCCCGGATGCCTCCTCTTCCCTGTGGCTGCAGACAGGACAAGGCTGGTGTCCCTGTGCCCTGTCCCCTGTCTCTGGCGGCTGTTCCTGAACAATGGCTGGCATGAGACTTAGCCCACCCTGGAGGTTTCCAAAAGGCCCACCTAAAGCCAGGTGGACTATAGCCTTGAGACAGGGCAGGATGAAAGCTTTCTAACACATCTGGGGACATCCAGAGGAGAGGGCCAGCCAGCAGGTTCAATAGCATCAAGGGCACTTCAGATGGGTTCAAGCCCAGAGCAATAACCCTCTCACCCCACCTCCCAACGAGGCACACTCAGTCCTGTGACCACCTCCACACACTACTAGTAGATCATGTCTAAGAGTTGCTCTGCCCCAGTCAGCCAGTCCAAGGTCAGTCTACTATGCAGAACTTAGAATGAAAATACACTTGGAAAATCTGGTCTTGGCCAGTTCCTCATTGGCTTGGTCTACATAGCCAAAAATTCAGACCCAATTAGGCTCTTGAAGGCAGTTCTGCAATAAAGCATGTTCCCCTGCCTCCAGAAGCTTCCTTAGCTCCCCTGACTGGGCACGGCCTCTGCTCCCAGGACCCTTCCCACTAAGGACTCACAGGGCAAAGATGTTGGCAGCCCCACTGCCAAAGCATCAGGACAGCCTCAGAAGCAACCACCACCCATCAGGACAGACGCGCAGGCACCAGGCATCGGGCACATGCCCAAATGGGAAGAGTAAAACTTGTAGACTGTCACGTGTAAACGCCCAGCAGCAGCCAGGGGACCTGCGTACGCAGGAGGAACTCTGTGGGCTGGGAGAGGCCTTCTGCACTTCCAGAGAGTGACGCTTTGATCTCCTAGGGAGGTACTGCCATACCCCAGGAACCAGTGCAGTCATGGGGCCGGGCTCCCGGCCCACCGCTGCCGAGGCTAGGTACAGGGCAGCACCCACAGAGAACCCTCACTGCCCTGGGTTGCTTCGTGGACCAGTGGACACCTGGGGACATGCTCCGGGGGCCTTCCTCCCGGCCGGATTGCTGGTGTATTCAAACTACCTCACCGACAGGACACTGAACTAGGAGCCTGCCACCCATTGGGCTCCCTGGCTGGTTGTAGAAGTTGATGTTTTTCCCAAAATGCACCCCACCCATTGTGCTCCAAATGCATGGACTTCAAAAGCCACCGCTAGAAAGCTTTACCAGAAGCTAGAAAGGATTGTAGACTTGGTGTTTAGGCTTTGCAAGGTATATTGCAAGGTATATTGACTAGAAAGCCCTGGAATGGAGGAGATAACATGCCACCAGCTTCCAAGGGGTTGGCCGAGATGAGTATGTAGCAAGGACCATGTGTGGCACAGTCCAAGAGTGGCCAAATGACTCCCTGATAACTCACAAGGCACCCTCTGAAGAGAGGCCTGTGCTCATGTAACCATGGCAACAGCAGACGCCAGCAGCCTACTCATTAGTATCACCTGGTGATAGACATTCCCTGGGCACAACCTAGCAGCCCTAAAGTAGCAAAGTAGCAAATGTAGCAATAAGAGGCCCAGGGCTGTAGAGGGACAGGGTCCAAATGACCCAGCCTCGGCCCTCTTCCCGACCCTGACGAGGGCTCAGAGCCAGGGGCTGTCAGCTGTCCGGGGGGAGGCCCTGCTCCATGCCCAGGGCTCCTGGTCTGTATTCTCTGCCCACTCACCGCATGATCATGGACACGTCGGAATGGCCTTCTCATAGTGCATGTGGTTCTCATTAGTTTATTTTTCTGGATTTGGGGATTGGATCCCAGAACCAAACATGCTGGTACAGTCTAAAAATAAATGACTTGAACCCACTCTAATGCAGCTAACTCTGTGTGGCTCCTTGGTTTGGGGGTTCACTGGGCAGGATGTGCCTGAAAATATACAACCTCTTCCGACTCCCCACTCCTCCCCCTGCCCCATTAAACCCATGCACACCGGCGCGTGCGTGGGCGTGCGTGCACACACACACATACACACACACACACAGAGCCTGAGAGTGAGGGGAATCATTCCCAGGCAGGAGGCCTCTCAGCTCAGGAAAGCCAGCTCTTTGGGACAGGGCACTCATCCTGGGAGGTCGGGACAGTTGTGTTACCAGAAGGCTGAAGGCCCTTGGTTCTGCCAGGGGCTCCGTGGCTGAACGGTCTCTATGCCCAATTGTGCTCAACCACGAAACCCAGGGGCCTGACAAACAGCAGCAATGGCCAGGCGCCACGTTAGATAAAGTCCCAAGACTGTGGTCTGCTGCGTATGGACTCTGCTCCTTATGTGGAATCTTGGTTTCCTGAGCGACAGTCTCATCTCCCACTAATGCCAAAGCAGCAGGACTTCGAGAGCCTGGAAGTCAGGCTGAAACTATGGTACTGTGATCCTATTAACAATGAGGCTGGCACCTGGCTGCTCGCTTCAGTGACAGAAATGTTGCTCTGAACATAGAAATGATCTCAGAGGCAGGAGAATGGGTCTTCAGTCACATTTGCATAGGAGCAAACTTGTCTCCCAATCCCTGGGCCAACTTCCAGGCCTGGACTTTCTGCCCCACAATGTCAAGACCAAGGTCACACCTGTAACAGCGCCTGAAAGGTCAGGTCTGTTGCATATCCCACTGGCAGGCCCTGGCAGGCCCATCACAAAAAAACCATGCTCCCCTGTCTTCCTTGATATCAACCATCCCCTCCAGGGAACCTGGAACCCCTCCTACCCCGACGAACTATCTGGCTTATTTCCAGAATCTTTGTTTAGCGAGCCGTCACTGGGTACATGCACGGCGTTATGAATGCTGACCACCAGGAACAGAAGTGTGCTTCAGGTCCAGGGTGGTGGTGGGGATTGGAGGCCACCAGCTATAACACTGAAAGCTGTGCCCACCCAAAATTGTCTGTGATCCACCCTTACTGCTTCTTCTCCCCCGACACGCTTGTGGGGACTTCTAGCATAAAGAGCATGCGTCAGTCCCTTCC